CCCACCATCCTCCACTGGTCCCCCAGTGCCCACCATTCTCCACTGGTCCCCCAGTGCCCACCATCCTCCACTGGTCCGTTCTGCTCTCCCTCTTCGTGGACGGAAGCGTGTTCCTGCCTTGGGGCCTTGGCACTCGCCACCCTCTGCCATCCTCTGCCTCCTGCGAAGCTCTTCCCCTGTTGCCCCTGCTTCCTGGCCTCTTCCCTTTCCCCTTCATCCTTTGTTTCCTTCCTCCCCTTCTCCTGCCTCCCTCCTCTTCTTCCTCCTCCTATCTCCCGCCCCCTTCTCATTGTCTCTTTTCTCCCTGCCCCCTTTTTCTTCCCTCCTCCTCCTCTTCCCCCAGGCTCCTTCCTCCTGACCTCCTTTTCTACTTCCTCTCCTCCCTCCTCCTTTTTCCTTCCTCCTTTTCTCCTCATGTCTTCTCTTCTTCCTCTTCTTTTCTCCCTTCTCTCCCTCTCTTCCTCTCCCTCATTAGGATTACAGGTGCACCACCACACCTGGCGTCTCCCCCTCCCCTTTGTTCTTTCTTGCCCCTCCCCTCTCCTCCTTCTCACCTAAGAATACACCCTGACATCCACACAACCCCTCTGCCCTTTCTCCCTGGCACCTGCAGCTAACATCAATGGGGTCCTGAATTGCTGCTTCTCTAGCCCGGAAGTGCAGTCTGGGTGGGAATCTGCAGCCTTGCTCACATCTGCAACCTGAGCCCGCCCCCCCTCCCCCCCGGGGCAGCGCAGGACCGGTTCATTCTGCTTTCTGTCCTTGATCCTTGGTCTAGGAAAGGGAGTTCAGCTGCAGTTCTCCCATCCTGCCTAGGACCTGGGATCTTCGCCCTTCCCTCTGCCACTCTGCATGACAGGCTCCTGCGGCCATCAAGCTGCACTTGGCCTGTGTGCCTCTTGGGGAGGCAGCATCACTAAGTGGGTCCGACCACGGCTCACCCCTACATTTCATCTGGACGAAATCCAGCTGGTGGATGGCTTGCAGCAGCGGCTCGCTGTCCAGAGTCAGGTCAAATTCCGCAGACACTTTGGGCTCCAGGGCCCCTTTGACCCACTGCTCCTGAGACACCTGCACGCGCTTGATCAGGGCATCTGAGATCTTAAAGGGAGCACAGAAAGAAGGTTTGGGTTTGCAGAGGAAGAGCTGCCAGCCTTTACGAGGAAGGGCTCAGCTTTTTCTATAGATCACTGAAGGGAAGAGGCGGACTGAGCCTGGACCTGTGAGCCATGGCCAGGCTTAAGTGAGCTCAACCACCCAGACAAGCTGTGTTGTTTCAGCCACAGGTCAACCACATGATCATGCTAATGTAGTTTTATATGCTTTTTATTTTTATGATCATGTTAATGTGAAGAACCACTAGGGAGTTTTGTTGTTGTTGTTTTGTTTTGTTTTTAAGGTGGTCCAAACTCTTTTATGAAGTCACAGTGCTTTTTTGAGATAGGCAAACACACCCCTTCATACATCTGTTTGGCTAGTCCTCTCACTTTGCAAAGCGAAATATACTAGCCGTTGGTTCCTGGGTGTGAAGATGGGCTTCCCATGTCCCCAGGTTTTGAAGCCCATGCCCATGTCCTCCTCTTCTGTCCCCTCCCAGCTATTCCACGGTTTCTGCTGCAAACCCTGACTGCCTGTGTCACGCCTGTGGCTCTGACTTCCTGTGCTGCAAAATTCTGCTTCTGAGACCTGGGCACATGTTACCGAAGAGCCATGAGGTGTACCCTTCCCCTTCTCCTCCTCATTTTCTTTTCTTTTTAGATTTTTTTTTATCTTATGTGTATGGATGTTTTGCCCGCATGCATGTCTGTGCACTGTGTGTGCCTAGTCTCCAAGGAGGTTAGGAAAGGGCATGAGATCCCCAGAAACTAGAGTTACAGGTCACTGTGAAGCACCATGTGGGTGCTAGGACCCAAAGCCAGGTCTTCTGCAAGGCAACAAGTGCTCTTAATCACTGAGCTGTCTCTTCAGCCCCTCCTGCAGCCTTCTTGGAGAGTAAACAATGGGATGCATGCTTCTCCCACAGGTAGGTTAACACGTGACCACGTTCCTGAGAATGAATGTCCTCAAGTTAGCCTGAATGCTGCTGAAGAAGTGGCCCTGACAAGGCTACACCATCTCTCGGGGAAGGTAGATCCTGCCCTCCACCTCTCTCTATGCAGTTTGTCCTGTTCATGTGGAAGACTGTGTCTTCCCATTACTGGGGGCAATACTGGAGCATGGTATTTAGTCCCTAGATGATGCCTTTTTGACTTCTTGTTTACTGGCTGGTGCAGAATCAGGGTTATTACAAGTGAGGGTCAGAGCCATGATGACAGTCCAGGTATTCTGGCCTCACAGAGCAAAGGAAAAGCTATTCAAGTCCCAGCCAGGGAGGGACAGAGCCTAGAGAGAGATCTGGTTCAGGAAGAGCAGGGAGCATGGGTGGAGCTGAAGAAGTTGCCTGCAGTAGTCTTCCGGGGGCTGCTCACCTGCAGGAAGCCAGAGGGGTCATCCTCCTTGATCACCTCCAGGCAGTACTCCATCAGGCCTGTGGACTGACGCAGCTTCAGTGTGCAGTGATTGATCTGGTCCCAAACCATCTGCAACGGAGAGAGAGCTCTGAAGAACCCTTTGTGGGGAAACGTAGTCAGTTACATCGGCAGTGTGTGAGTGGGCGCTGGGCGGCCGGGAAGGGCGTTGTTGATTTGCCCCATCTCATAGCCAGCATTCTACTCGGCTCCTGATTTGTGGAGTCATCACTGGGGAATCAGTGGGCCCCTTTTAGCACAGCAAAGCTTTCTGAGCTCTGGGCAGTCAGGCACACAAAGGGAATGATGTACAACCCACCCTGTGATGTGGTCAGCTTTCTGTCCGGTCAGGGATAACTTAGTGGGTTTCTCCTTATCCCCTTCCCAGGACACATGGTTCCCTCCCAACACACAACCTTCTCTCTTTAAAGTAATGTTTTCTGAGGGGGTGGTGGTACTCAGGAAGTCTGGGTTATATACTGAGTTTGATGGTTCGTGACCAGCAAGGATATATAGCAAGCCCCTATCTCAAAAAAAAAAAAAACAAACAAACAAACAAACAAAAAAAACAAAGAGATAAACTAAAATAGTGTTTTCTGAAATGGAGATGTAGTTCAGTTGGTAGAGTGCCTTGTCTAGCATGGCTGAAGCTCTTGGGAATCTGTCCAAGCATGATATACATGCCTAGAATCCCAGAACTTGGGTGGTGGAGGCAGGAGGATCAGGAGTTCAAGGTCATTCTCAGCTACATAGCAAATTTGAGGCCAGCCTGGGCCACACAAGACCCTCTCTAAAAGAAAAGCAAGTGTTTTCTAATTCACTTAGATGCCTCTGGCATAGAGCTCCTTGGAACCACTTCGGGTCATTCTCAGCTTCTGCCCAAGCCAGGAACTTAGTGCTACATAAGGGATCATGACTCAGTGTCCCTTCGCAGAGCCTGGCCACACACATCATTGCTGAGTATGGATACATGAGATGATATAAGAGTCTGAAGAAGAAGACAGTGCTGGAGATCTGAGCAGAGCCTGACTGTTTCTGTCGCTGTCCACACCTGCTAGGCAAGATGAGAGAAGGCCCCACCCACCCACCAGACACAGGAGCCCAGAGCAGGTGGGAGAGGGGAGGCTGCTCTGAAGACAGCAGGATGCTGTGGAGCACCTAGCTTTGGAGACTGCTTGAGAGTACTCCCTGACTCCTGCGTGTAACTGAACCGGCCAACTCAGGGCCTCCCAGCCACATCCGTTCACTCACTCGCCTAAGACCATCCTGTGCGTAAGGCAGTGAGTGCCGCCCTCTGTTGGGTGCAGGTGACATCATAGGGGGAGAGGACCAGGTCACTCAGTTCTTACCTTCAGCTTGTGCTCTCTCTCTTTGGTCACCTTGGTGAGCAACTTGGCTTTCTGCCGGGTCAGTGCATCCACCAGGGCATCACACTGTGCCACCAGGCAAGCTTCATAGTCCAATCCATTTTCCTGCGGAAGCAGAGAACCGTGATGAGGAGGGGCTGGCCTCTGTGGTCCAGAGGAGACAGCTCCTCTCAGAGCTCTCGATACTGTTTCTAAGTTGGGGGCGGCATGAATCGTGAGTGTGCATCAAGGAAGAGTTCCACGAACCGTGACACAGCCACACGGGGAAACACCCTGTCGTCTGTTCGGAGAACATTGTTAGTGCCGTGGAAAAGCGGTCATGAGAGATGGGAAAAAGCCTGGGTGAGGTGTGGCATGCCTGTCATCCCAGCCCCTGAGAGGCAGAGGCAGGAAGAGCTTGACCTGAAGACTAGCCCAGAGACCTTGTCTTTAAAAACGGGGGAAGGAGGGAGAAGAGGAAGAAAGAAAACGGGACATTAGTGGTTCATAGAATAATCCTTGGGCTGGAGAGATGGCTCAGCCGTTAAAGGCTAGGCTCACAACCAAAAATATAAGAATAATCCCATATACAATGAGCGTATGTGTATATGTGTGTGCATATGTGTGATTGAGTATCTCTATGTGTGTATACATATATGTGTGTGTGTATGGTTGTATGCATATGTATGTACAGATGTATGTATGTGACAAGCACAGTCACCTCAGATGAGGGATACTGGTGAGCTTTTTTTTCAGCTCTGTCTTCTGTACTCTCTAAAATCTCTGTACCATACATTTTGTTTTTATAATCAGAAAAAGTAAAGCAAATAAAAGAGAGTGAGTCTGTCTGCCTTGGTTTCCAGGTCTCCAGGATCTGGGTAGATTCTAAATTGTCCCCCTGGATCATATACTGAATCATAAGCCCCAGGACCACACCGTGTGGCTGTGTTTGAAGCCAGAAGTTAAAATGAGGCTATCAGGGTGGCCCCAGTCCAATCCAAATGGTGTCCTTATAAGAAGGAGAAATCAGGACACAGACACACACAGAGGGACAGCCCCGTGAGGACACGGGGAGTACTACCATCTGCAAGCCAGGCAGAGAGGCCTCAGGAAAAGCTAGGTGACCTTGGGCTTGCAGCCTCTGGACTGAATCCATTTCTGTTGCTGCCTCTGCTCCACCTCTGATCTCTTACGGTGGCATTCGAGAAAACTAATACATCTTGTGTTCATGGAACATCAGAGCCCTGTGACTTGAGACTCCCTGCGGGAATCAGGCAGGGTGGTCGTCACATGCCTGTCATCTTAGCACTTTTAAGACTAAGGTCAGCTTGGGCTTTGTAATAAGACCCTGTATAAATAATAAAGATAATAGTAATAACAATAATTGTTTAAAGGAGGAGGAAAGGGAGGGGAGAAAGAGGAGGGTAAAGAAGAAAGCTTCAGGGCGCTTAGTCCTTTCCTCTGGCAAGGCATGGAAATGCTCCGGGCTCTCCTCCGTGCAGGTGGACCCTTCTGCATGTGCACATGGGTGAACTCTCTCTCCCTTGCCCAAAGCTCACTGAAGTGAGATGCACTGATTTCTGTGTGTTTTCCAGCCTCAGTGTGGGACGTAGCATAGACACTCAGATAACACGTTTTCTTAGGGAGCGAGGTGTTTCTATTTTGCTGCACTGGTTACACAGGCACGTCTAAGGACAAAAGATGTTCCCTGCATGTCAACGGACTGAGAGTGGCACTTTCAGCACCCAGGTCAATCCTCTAAAAAAAAATCATTGCTGAAAATCACTTGTCCCAAGACCAGCCCTCCTTTTTCTCTGTGTATTTGACAAACAGCCCACACTGTCTGTCCAGGACCAGAGTCTGCTCACCTGGATCTGCTGCAGTATGTTCTTGAGCTGAACCAGAAACTCCTTCGCCTCTTTGGCCTTATCTGAAACCCCATTTAGGGCCTGAGACAGCTGGGCCTGGAAAAGACATCATATGATGGAGAAGCTAGTTAGCATGGAAGGCACGTACCTGCATCCATCATGATAGCCTGTGCTTGTAAGAGAGGTTAAACCGGTCCCACTGGTACGTTGTCCTCTCTTAAAAAGAGGCTGTGGCCAACTCACAAGCCATACGATACATGCCTGTTTCCCATTTGTTGTTGATGCTGTTTACTTGAGGGGCGGAGAGGGAAACTCTGGAGCTTGTACATGCTAAGTAGGCACTCTATCACAGAGCTACATCTGGACCAACCCTGGACCAACATGTATCTGTTTCCCAGCAGGCCTTGGTGAGTTGTTCTAGTTTCAAAAGCAGTGTCTTGGCCCAGCCTGGTTGAGGGAGACCCTGTCCTCAGCAGCCCTTGCCTTCACTAGATTCCCCTCCTGGCTTGACTTTTCCTCTGACTAAATTGTTTGGTTTTGAGAGTTGGAGACTTTGCTTGTCTCAGCTAATAAATATTTGTGTTACAAATGGTTTGTTTTTGCTTGGACAGCAGGTCAGGTAAGTTTCCAAACTGTGCAGAGAATCCGCAGTGAGGAGCTGAGATCCGCCTTGGCTTTGCACTCGCCATGGGTATTAAGATGGCCCTGAGTTCCACTTTTGACACTTTGACCACAAGGACCCTCACTTACCATCAGGCTGCTGAAAATGTTACCAGGCAGATATGCCCTGACAAATGCTAATATCTTAAACCAGTGACTCTCAACCTTCCTAATGCTGCGACCCTTAATACAGTTCCTCATGCTGTGGTGACCCCCCTCTCCCGACCATAAAATTCCTTTCATTGCTACTTTATAACTGTAATTTTTCTACTGTTATGAATCATAATGTAAATATCTGATATGCAGGATATCTGATATGTGACCCCTGTGAAAGGGTCATTTGACTCCCAAAGGGGTCTTGACCCACAGTTTGAGAACCACTGTTAAAACCATCAGCTTTAATCCCAGTACTCGGGAGGCAGAGCCAGGTGGATCTCTGTGAGTTCGAGATCCAGGAAAGGCACCAAAGCTACATAGAGAAACCCTGTCTCGAAAAACCAAAAAAAAAAAAAAAAAAAAATCACAAACCAAAAAGCCATCAATTCCAAAGGCCTTTGCCACATTTTACTGGAGCAGGAGAAACAGAATGCCAGCAAAATCCAACTATCGAGGAAAATGTCCAGAATGCAGATGCCTGTGGGTGCTGAGAATGTGAGCCCAGCCCTCATGCTCCCACAGTGAGCACTCCACCCACAGAGGCATCTCCCCAGTCATGGTCTTTGCTCTTTTTGTTGTCCTTTCAGTTGCCACAGTGACAAAAAGTCTGACATATTCACATGGGAGAACCATCTAAAGACCGGAGTTCCACTACTACCATCCATGGAACTACCGGACCAGATCCTTTCCGGACCCTCGGGAGCACACCTAGGTCTCGGCCTCGAGTCCCAGCAGTGTGGAGGATGGATCTGCTGGTCTAAGCCACCTGGTTTGCACTGATGTAGCTGGTAACTCCAGCCAATAAACCCATTTTCTTCCAGCACCAGCTCTTCATGAATATTCATAGGATGGAATCACGCCACACATGCACTTTGTCCACATAACACAAGCAGACATCGACCTTCCATAGAAGAGGCCAAGGTCCGGTACTTTCAGGATGAGTCAGAACCACAGAAAACAAGTGCTCTGCAAGTATGACGGCACCCTGCCAACCCTTTCGGATTAATCCACATTCAGCCTTTCCCAGTTCCAAATGAACCAGCTCTTCGGGGTTCAATCCTGTTTCCATTACATTGTTCGGCGGCAGACCCTGAGGTTGGAACAGCTGTCTTTAGGCAGTCACTGGATGTGGCATGGCTGGGAGTCAGCGGGGGTGGAAACAGGACAATTAGGGCAAGCCAACCATGTTTCTAATTCTCAGAACAGGAGGGCACAGTTAGGACAGATGTCCAGTCTAAGCCCCACCACAAGAGGGTACGGAGGCTAGCTTGTGTCCCCCTGCACCACCTGGACAAGGAAGCCATCTCCACCGCTCTCAGCCTCTATACCTGTAGTAACAATCATGGTAATGACAGTGACGGTGCCTTTCCTTATGTGATACATGGCATACATTGTGTTAAGTCCTTAAAGTGCATTGTCTCTGGGCTGACGAGATGGCTCAGTGGGTAAAGTCCTTGCTGTGCAGGCCTGGGGACCTAAGTTTGGGTCCCCAGCACCTAGGTAAAAGCCGAGTATCTGTACCCCCAGTGCTGGGGGGTAGGTAAAAGGCAAACCCCTGGAGCTCACTGGCCAGCCAGCCTGGCCCAGTCAACGAGCTGCAAGCTCAGTGGTCTCAAAAAACAAAGTGGAAATGGAAAGCCACTGAGGAACTTACCAGATGTGGACCTCTGGCCTCTACAATCACCTCAATACAAGTGTACTAAAATGCACAGGTGCACACACCATCACAAGCATGTACATATACAAGAGAAAAGTGCACACAAGAAACGTGCATTGTCTTGTTTAATACAAATGGCAAAAGGCTGAATTCTATACTCATCATCCCTGTAACCAGCTTCCTCTGCCTGCCCACACCTCTGTCCATGAGGCATTCCAATGCATTTCCCAGCTGGCTCCTGTCATCTCGTGAGGTCAGCTGATTGCTTCTGACACAGATAAAAGAGAAATCAGAGGCAGGCAGGCAGGCAGGCAGGATCGGAGGGACTGGGGTGGGGGGTGGGGAGGAGGGATGGAGGAAGGGAGTGGAAGACAGAAAAGGATGGGGGAGGTGGAGAGGGAGATAAAGAAGGAGAGGGATCAAGGGAGGAAGAGGGGGAGGGGAAGGAGGGAAGGAGGCAGGCAGGCAGACAGGCAGGCAGGGGAGAGCCAGAAGCGCGCTCAGAGTGCACTGAAATGTGCACCTGGAAAGATGCATGATTGGTCTACTTGTCTTTTCACACACAGCCCCCTAGAATGACCCTTCCTTTGTGAGTCTCTCTGCTCTATGAGTCAATGAGCAGTTAATAGTGTCTGCTCTGAAATATGGTGTTGACATTAGCATACAATTCCAGGGTTACAGCTTATTCATTACTCAATAAAGGTTCTTTTGGCCTCCTGAGTGCCGGCTGCTCTGCTGGGTACTAGGAGTACAAAGACACAATAAGGCATGATCCTTGCTCACAGGATCCTTCAATTCCGCTGTTATTTCTGTGTGTGGTGGATACAGATAGCTCAGAAATGAAGAGATCGTGTCAGGCTCTGTCAGCTGCACGGCATCATTGACAGGTGTGAATAACAAGAGTCTAATCAAGATGGAGTTCTATTATTAGAGCAGGTTCTAGTATTAGAATAAGTACCCATTGGAGGCCTTGAGAATGGCCAACTGGTGGGAAAGCAAAGTAAAAATGAGCACCAGTCACACTTGCTGACCAGATAGCAGCTCAGGCCATACCCCACCGGCAACAAGAACAAGCCTGGTTGGGGAAGAATGGGCACAAACCCTGCACCGGAATCTCAGCCTTAACCAAGAAGCTAGACCCATGCCAAGCAGAGCTAGACAAGGATCTCGTCACCCAAACCAAAACAGCTTTTTTAGGATCATGTAGGTTATAGTTTTAGTATCCTAAAACCAAGATGACCTCTCTATGATCAGGCTAGCTCAAGCACTGGTATCTCAAAACCAAAATATCCTCTCTAGGATTAGGTCTTGGAAACTATAATAGAATTGCTTCCGTGACAATAATGACTAATGAGAATTTGTCTCAGTTCGTCTCTGTGGTCAAATCACACAACTAATAAATAAATAAATAAATAAATAAATAAATAAATAAATAAATAAATAAATAAATAAATAAGTAAATAGCATCTGTCTCACAGCTTAGATTCCATCCTTTCCCATCCTCATCCCTCTACTCCACTGAAGCCTCACTCCTCAGTGTTTTACACTGAGAATTTGTTGTATTTTTTGTTTGTGTTTGTGCCTGGAGATCAGTGGGCAGAGCTAGCCACTAGCTACCCATAGAGGCCAGGTCACGGTGGCACACACCTTAATCCTATCACGTAGGAGGAGGAAGCAGGAAGATCAGGAGTTCGAGGCCACCTTAGGCTACAGGAGATTAAACCAGCCTAAAAGAGAAACAGAGCCAGGTGGTGGTGGTGCACACCTTTAATCCCAGCACTAGGGAGGTGGAGACAGGAATATATGGTGGGTGGAGACCGGATCTCGGCACCTATTTTGTTTGAGAATTCATAGAGGTTAAGAAGTCTCTAGTGGCTGCTGCTCTGCTTCTCTGATCTTTCAGCTTTCAGCCTCAATATCTGACTCTGGGTTTCTATTGATAAGACTAATTAGGATCACGCTTCAAGAAATGGCTCCATGCATGCTCAGTAGTATGTGCTGCTGCTGTTCTTCCTTCCTTCCTTCCTTCCTTCCTTCTTTCCTTCCTTCCTTCTTTCCTTCCTTCCTTCCTTCCTTCCTTCCTTCCTTCCTTTCTTCCTTCCTTTCTTCCTTCTTTCCTTCCTTTCTTCCTCCTCTTCCTCCTCCTCCTCCTGCTCCTGTTCTTCTTATTGGCTTTTTGAGACAGATTTTCTCTGTGTAGCCTTGGCTGTCCTGGAATTCACTCTGTAGACCAGGCTGGCTTTGAATTCAGAGATCCACCTGCCTCTGCCTCACCAGTGCTTGGATTAAAAGTGTCAAAGGACAAACAGGTGTCATTCCTCAGGCACCTTCCTTCAACATTTTTGTTTGAGATAAAGTCTCCTATTGGCCTGGAACTTAGTCGAGGCTAAGCTGGCTAATGAGCTAAGGGGACCTGCCTACCTCAGCCTCCCATCTCAGTTGCTAGGATTACAAACGCGTGCCACCATAGCAGATTAAATTCCAGTTCTTGCCCTTGCAAAGTGAGCATGTTACTGACTGAGCCACCTCCCAATCCCTGTGCTGAGATTTTTTTTGCCCTTTGAGAGAAGATAACATCTCCTCCTGAAGCCTTGGTGCTTAGGACACTGGTGGTCATGACTCT